CTGCTGAAAAATATGTTTTGGGAATGGAAGATTTTAATGTCTACCTCATCAATTTTAACCAGACACACCATATGTTGCTATCAAAGCAGCAAGGGTTTTCCTCAGCTACGTCCTACAGACAAAAAGAGAAGATAACATGGAAGCAAGTTTCACCTTCCAGCTTCTTTGTTTCTCCACAGGCTATTGGAACATAATTGTCCATGGGCGAAAGCACTCCTACAGACTGTACACGAAGCTGTTGAATGAAGCTATGCGCTGGGCCTCTGCCATTCAAGGTGTCATTGACAGCAAAGTTCCCATAGAAACACCTACACAGCAACTCATTCGTGACATCAGGGTAGGTGGCATCATGCTCATTCCCAAGTGAGTTGAGAGCAGCCAGATCACCACTGGCCTTACCCAGTCATTGCCGAGAATGTGGCAAGAAACGGGGTTGCTGTCTTGGGCGGGCGGGGAGAAATGAAACCTATATGACTGCAACGAAATAATCAAATCTTATGTGAATTTTATTTTGAATTAGCATGTTAGCTGATCTGCATAAGTCTAGGCTACAACTGTGTGCAATTACAAATTGCATGCAGGATTACACCATCAAGCATTTGCAAGTCCCTGCTTCATCGTTTCCTCTCCTAAGCATCCTCCAGACACAAACATAAAAATTTCCATTCCTACCAGACATGTGACTTACCCTGAATTCCTTTTTGTACCTTAGGCTTGTGTGGTTAAATAGCAGAGTAAAAGGGGGAAAGAAAATGTCCTTCAAAATAGCATAAATTGTGCCACTGTAGCAGGAGTAATTTTTGAAAAGGCTTTTTTTCCAGAAACTGTGGCAAATTAAACATAGACTCGTATTAGAAGACACACCAAAGCTATTTCAGAAGAAATGTATATGTAAACATATACATTGTGATGAACTCTAAACTAGATGCAATTCGATAGTAACTATTCAGGAAGAAAGAGCTGGGAGTGATTGTGGAGAATCTTGGAAAACTTCAGCTCAGGGTTCAAGGACAAATGAAATGTTAAGTATTGTTAGGGACAGAATATAGGACAAAATGTGGAAGAATGTGATGCCAGTGTGTATGATAGTGACAGGCCCAGATTTTGAACACCATGTGCATTTTGGTTGTCCATTCTGTAAACACATGTAGTACAACCAGACCAATTCAGGGAGGACAGGCTCATTATTACATACTAAACATGGTGGATCTGTCGTCAGAAAGTCCATTAACCATTTACCGTTGAAAGTTTGAAGGATATACCAGGGAGGAATCATGCCATATATGCCTGTTACATGCCTGCATTAGGTATCAGCCACAAGTCACGTTTGAAGTCAAGATCCCGTGCCTGGTGACCTTTGGTATGACCCAGCATGGCTATTCTTACGTTTAATTTTCAGAAATAATGTACAGAGTAATTTTTATATCTGCATTATTCTTTGATCACGTAGTCCCTCTATGGACCTCCAGAAAGTTAGATGAAGGTGGTTGAGCTTGAACCTAAATGTATAAGGACATCCTGCGAAAAACTATCCCCATTTGAGGATAATTCTTTTTTTGGGTTTTTTTTTTTTTTTTTTCAGGAAAACAGCACAAACTTTGAAGTAGTGGAACAGACATATAGGAGGAACCCAATCTTGCGATATACCCAGCACCCTTTGCATTCCCCATTGCTCCCACTACCGTATGGAGACGTTAGTGTCAACTGTAAGTATTTTACCCGTTTGACAGAATCCGCTCACATTTTGAGGATCAGTGTGGAGCCTGAGCACCACAAAAGTGGTCTGTAAGCTCTCTCTGTGCAGGTGAAGTCCATCTGGGGCAGTGTAGCCCACAGGGTTCAGAGAGAGGGAGCAGTCCCTTTCTCTACCCGGAATCTATTCTGTGTCCACTGCCTCGTATCTTAGGAATACTGAATCTTAAAGTAAATGGGGGCAGATAGGTTATCATCCATCCGGGCGATGCGCAGCCTTTCATCCTTGAGCTGCAACTGGGTTGCGAATGGCTCCAGTGGAAATCCTACAACAGGATTACATCACGCAACTGGCAGTGCCATAGTATTCATACAGAAGCTGCTGTAAAACCAGACTAAATTAATCCTTTCTTCAAATGCTTCAGGATCATGAAAGAGCTAGACTGTTTGATAGGCCACCAGAAAACCAAAGTGATTTGCTGATGATTCCAGACTGGCATACAAAAACAGAAAGCTGCTGCTGAAGACCTATAGAAGAGTCTCTAACACGGAGTGACTGGGCCACAAAATCTTTTCAGAAGTTAATTTCAGTCTGGATATGCAAAGCAATGTATACGGGGAAAAACAGTCTGCCACATAGGCAGTGATGGGTCTGAGTGATCTAGTTCTGCTTAGGAAAGTGAACAGAAATTTACATAGCTTTATGAAAATGTCAACTCTTGTGCTGAGCAGAGAAACAAAGCAGCTAATGCAAGGTTTTGAAAGCTTAGAAAAGGAAAAAGAAAGTCTCTGTGCGGCTGTATTGATGTATCATGCACCTGCATCTTGAATACGGGATGCAGCTTGGCCTTCCGCATCTTAACAAAGATACAGGAGAAGTAAAAACCTACCCAAAGATGATCAAGGGCATAGAAAGACTTGCCTACAGTTAAGAGCCTAAATAGAGCAGGACTCTTCAGCCTCAAAAAGAAGTTTTTAGGGCTAGAGGACTGTCATGGAGAAAGTGAAAGGGGAGTAACCGCTCACTGTATCTCATGATACGATGATTAAATTAAGTGGCAGATTAAAAGCACAGAAAAAATAAATTCTGAAATACAGAAAAATTACAGAGCAAGTACTTACACTGTGGAACTTACTGCTACAGGGCTGTGTATTTGTATTGTACAATTAATGCATGGCCTCTGGGGAAGCAGTGGCTGTATAGGAGATTCAGAAGGACCTACAGCCCCAGAGATGCGCAAAGGAGAATGCAAGCTGCAGCAGTATGGTAGTATCACATACTTCTGAGCAATTCAAAGCAGACATTTAGGTGCTTAACAGGCATAACCAGTGTTGGTGTAGGTGTTTTAAATCTAAACGATATGTAAAAGCTGCATCTGTGGTACAGCAATTTGCCAAAATTCTGTGTTGGCTCGGGTGTCAAAGCTAATACGGGCACAACACAGAATTTTGGAAGTATGTAAGCCAGGCTTCGGTGTCTGCATTTAGGCACCTAAATCCGATCCTTAACTGCATTAGTGACCCTCTGCTTTATAGCTGCTCTGAGGGGAGGAGACAGTTTACAGAGAGATGACTTTCTGCCACCCTTTCACTTGTGTCTGCAGATGAGGTGCCAAAAGCTGTCTCTTGGCACCTCATCTGCAGACACTGAAGCCTGAACGAGATTTCAATGCTAGTTTCCCTTAAAAATGTCACTCTGCTTTTCTGCACAGTATATCCAAAAATGGATTTGCAGTGGTGATGAGTTAGATGTTGGCAAATAGTCATTAAAACTGCATTTGCACATTTAAAGGGGAAGCATTAATGAATTTGGAGTATAAATTTAAGTTTAGGAGATGAGCTAATGCTCAGGTTGCTGTTCTTCTGTGACAGACTAGTACAGGTGCCAGTAGTGTTGCTGGGCCAGTAGAAAATGAGGGAGATGCTCACCTCTTTTCACTTTTGTGATCGTTCCCCAGTGCAACAAGAGAAGGGTTACAGCAGCTTACAGGACGAAGCAGTGAAGATCTTTAACTCCCTTCAGGAAATCGAGACAGTATCTGACCCCATACCCATTATCCAAGGCATCCTGCAGACCTGCCATGATTTAAAGCCCCTTCGTGATGAAGTGTACTGTCAGCTCATCAAACAAACTAATCACATGCCGCATCCCAACAGTACCGGGAACCTGCACCACTGGCAGCTGATGTCATGTATGAGCTGCACTTTTCTGCCCAGTAGAGGGATCCTTCGCTACCTCAAGTTCCACCTCAGAAGGTACACATCCTTTTCATTTGCAGCCTGTTTCCTTTCTCTCTGCTTATCTTCCACTGCCTGTTGTAGTTTCTGTCTCGCCTTCCTCCTGTGCAAACATCATCCTGTGGTGTCGCAGCCTCCTACCTTTGTGCACAATTCTTGCTACCAGTTGTTCTGTTGTATGCAAACTCCCCCCATTCCACTCATCGGTTGTGTCAGAAGGGTGTGGAAAGTAAGGCTACCCAAACAGAATACCATGAAACTGTGTTAAAAGTGGGTTTACAGCCGCTCACTTACTGCTTAATAATGTCCATATAAACATTCTCAACTTGCAGGGAAGGAGAGGACCGTACTTTCATATTCATTGAAATATGTAGTACCTTGCAGCTGCCACAGTTACAATGTGTACTGTGGAGTAGTAGGTATACTGTAAATCAGATTTATAATTTTTCAATATTTGTTTGCTTAACTAAGCACATAATGCTTACAATTTGTATCTCTAATCTGCTTTAACCTCCCATTTTCATGAACTAAATGATTTACATTTCTTCCCAATTCATGTTCAGGATCTAATGCAGTCTGCATTGGAGCTGAGCTGCAGCCATGTAGTCTCTTTCTATTCATTAATGATGAGAAAGATCGATAAAATCTATTTGATTCCTTCCAAGCTAGGAAAGGTGAAATTTGTGCCCATACGCCAAATAGCTACAGCCAGGGCCTCAGTCTAAGAGATGCTGAGTAATACTTCATGTTGCCATTTCTTGTTTTTATCACTGGAGTTGCAGATCATGTTATACTCAGAACTGCTGGCCACATTTGATTTCGTTGTTTTTAATCTCATTTTTGTAAATTGAGATAGTCAATCCTGCTATCTTCAGCTGGTACTAAATTCCTGAAAGTTTGAACTGCTTATTTCATACATTGCTGAGAAATGCCACTGAAGTGACTTTGGAATGACTAGTAAAAGCAGGTTGTATGGTTTAGGAAATAAGCAGGCTCATTATTCCTGTGGTTGCACTTGGCATCACTGTCTCTACTGAACTCTTTACGTACAGTAGTCCAAGTTGTAATGTGGTAATGTGCGTGCTTTCTGGTTCACTCTGTGATGGGTTTTTTTGCTTCTCTTTACAATTAGGGTAAAAGACCTCTTTCCAGGCTCAGAAATAGACAGGTATGCGCAATTCATAAGTGATTCCCTGAAGAGAACAAAGACGAGGGAGTTTGTGCCCTCCCAGGAGGAAATACAGGCTCTTCTCACCCGTGAAGAAATGACCACAACAGTGTACTGCCATGGCGGTGGCTCCTGTAAAATAACCATCAATTCCCACACAAGCGCTGGGGAGGTAATGCATTAGTAGCATTAACCAGATGTAAGCACACCTCTGTGCCTGGATACTGGGTCTGTTGAAGGGACGCCTTTTTCCCATTCATCTCCCATTTCTCATTAGTTTTTTTTAATTACCAATTTTTTGCTGTATCCACAAAGTCTGTAGGGAGAGCTCAACTTATTCTGCGGGTTCAGAATTATACAAGGCCTATGCCTGGGTTGTAGAATATCACTTAACAATTGTGTTGCAAAATCTAAACACTTTTGCTGTTCTGCCCATTGGAAAGGTAATGATTCTGAAGACTTGCTAAACCCAGTTTTCTGGACAAGTTGAAATTCCAGTTCACAATGTAATCCTTCTGGAAGGGATATTCTACCAGTAACTTAATTGTTGGCAGGTCAGAAGCGAGATTCCAGGTTACAGTAGGCAAGTCTGTGAAAACATTAGTGCTAAACAGAGGTAAAAAATAGTAGTAAAGAGTGAAGTTGTTACTAGAGGAACTGAGAATATCATCATGGCATCTAAATCCATTATGTGCCTGCATCTTGTGCAGAGTTCTAATTCCGTCATCTCCAAAAGGGTAGTGGAGATGATTGAAAAGGTTCAGAGAAGAACAGCAAGGATGATCAAATACAAGTAATGGCTTCCTTGCAGGGAATGATCTTTTAGGGTTAGAATTCTTTAATCTGAAAATGAGATAACCAAGGGGGAAATGTGATGGAGGTCTATGGTGAGTGTCCTGAAGAGGTACTGATTCTTCGTTGTGAAAGTGTGTGTGATACCTACTCTGTGGTCTCTCTCTCTCTGATTTCGCAGGTGGTTGAAAAGCTGATCCGAGGTTTAGCAATGGAGGACAGCCGTAATATGTTTGCGCTCTTTGAACATAATCAGCAGGTGGACCGTGCTGTTGAGAGTCGGGTGATTGTGGCTGATATCTTGGCCAAGTTTGAGAGGTAGAAGAATGTTTCATAAAGTCTTTAACTCCTAGTTGGATGTAACACTGGTTTAAGTGATAGTACAGTCAGGTAGTTTTATCCAAAGCAGCCGCAGTGATTCAGCCGTTCACTCTGGTTTGAACTTCCCTTTGGTAAGGTTCAAGTGCTCTTTCTCACTGTGTGGTAAACCATGTTCACATCTATTTTGGTGATAAAGGAGCATCCTCTATCAGGCTTGTCAGGACAAAATTAGTAGTGCCTTTATCAAAGAGTAATGGTTTACTAAGCAGAGCTCAGGGAAGGTTTGCTTAAGTCTGACAATGATCTTGTCAATTCACATCATAATAGCTATATCAGAAGAGAGAGCAAAGATTTGGGCATGGAAATGCAGCTCTAATTTCTTACTATGGACTGTGATTTTGTGGCCAGACATACAAAGAAAGCAATAAATTGTGAAAGAAGCTGGCAATGCCATTGTCTATTTTATATCTGTTCTAAAGACAAAAATAAAATTGTTTCAGATGGTGGTGAGGCTGGTGCTTTTCAGAGTCACAAAATTACGTGGAAACAGTATCTTGAAAATGGGGAATACCTTGTGTCCTGCCCCCAACTCTTGCATTTGTCTAGAACCATTGATCTAATTTTTTTATCAAGTATATCTGATAAGAACTTTGAATCCTTTTGAATCAAAATTTCGTGCGACTCAGAGGAAAAAATGGAAGTTACCAGAAAAGTCTGCTGCACTGAGATTGTCCTGGTAAATTAGGTAGCTCTGTATGCTTTCCTTCAGAAATCCAGGGGTACCTTCATATTGTGAGTTGCACTGCGGACATCCCAGTACCGTGGTGCTTCTGGTTACTGTTTTTTTTCCCCTCTCATTCTCTTTCCTATCTTACAGACTTGCTGGCTCTGAAGAAGAAGAGGAGGAAGGACAGTGGCAGCTGTATTTTAAGCTTTATTGCTTCTTGGATATTGAGAATGTTCCCAAAGATGGGGTGGAGTTTGCCTTCATGTTTGAGCAGGTAAGCTCGCTCTGGGAAAATGATTTGTGGCAGAAGCACACAAGAGTATACAGAAAACTGGCTTACCTTTGTATTAGAAGTGGGAATGCTGGTTTGAACAGAAGAATTTAGTGTGTTGGATTTTTGCCTGGAATCTACCAAACAGACATACTGCAGAGTTCTCTAGGGAACAGGAGTATTAGAACAAAAGCAAGAAAAATTAACAAGGCCTTAAAAAAACCTAGAAGACCAATGATAATAAAATGCTTTTAAAATTTATCTTTAAACTTAAAAGATACAGAAATTTGGATAATGATTCAAGAAGAATCATTAAAAGTAGCTGCTTGCAGAACATAGGTGTAAAGAAAACTGTAAAATCTAGCTATCTGCCTATCAGCTTACAAGAACAGCACGTCCTCGGGGTGTTACAGGAATTGAGTAAAAAAAACCTATCTTTTGGGCAATTTCTTTTGATTAACAGAGAGGCACTAGAAGAGTACTACAGAAAAAGGAAAAGAGAATGTAGTTGACAATATTTATCTGCTGAGTAATCTTTTTTTAAGTCGCTATACACCATAGCACAATGATGCTGGTTAGGCCAGAGATCACACTGGTATGAAATAACCTTGCAATTAGGGGTGCAAAACTAAACTGACTGGAGTACCCAGCTCTGTGATTCGTCCCATCTTTCTTACTTCTAACGAACACTTTGATCTTGCCTCAGAAAATTATAGCTGTTGAAAATTAATTAATACGTGTTAAAGGGGGTCAGTGTCATGAAGACTGAAACTCATTCATTGACAGTCAAATGGATGGCGTGTACATCACACAGACGATGGTTCCCTAAGAGGGTTTTCTTGAAATGAAGGTTAAGTATTGTTAACTACAGAATGTTTAGGAAAGGGTCAGGAACAAGACATCACAGTACTCTGCAGAAACTCAATTATACCAAACTCCCTGTTGACAAGGCTTTCAGTCTACACAGCTTTCACTAGCAGAGAGTGGTGGAAGAGAAGTAACAGTAGGAGAGTGGATGTTATCCAGACGTTAGATGGACGTAGCAAAAAACCCCATAAATATATTTCACAGAAAAACAGGCAAAGGGAAGCAAGAAGATTGGGGGACACATCAGGTGAAAGAGAAGGAGGTGGGAGGTGCTGGTGTGCAATGAGACTGAGGTTGAGAGTCTTGAGTTTATTACATCTAACTCTCTGGTGTTTAATATAATCTCCACACAGGAGCTGTAGCTGGTACAGCACAAAACAAATTGCCTCAATTCCGGTCTCTCCCATCTGTTCCAGACCTAAAAAGTCCTCAAGATTGGGGAACACATCAGGTGAAAGAGGAGGAGGTGGGAGGTGCTGGTGTGCCATCTTTCTTACTTCTAACGAAAGTCTCAGAATGAGACTGAGGTTAAGAGTCTTGAGTTTATTACATCTAACTCTCTGGTGTTTAATATAATCTCCACACAGGAGCTGTAGCTGGTACAGCACAAAACAAATTGCCTCAATTCCGGTCTCTCCCATCTGTTCCAGACCTAAAAAGTCCTCATCGTAAGACTTTCAGTACAGGATAGAGGCCCCTCAGAGGTCTCTGTCCTGTCCAGGCTTGCAGAAAGAGGTGTTCCCCCCACATCGACCAGCTGCAGACTTTGACTTCTTTAGTATAATGTCTGCTCTGACCT